AGGCACGCACCACCATGCCCAGCTAATTTTTTGTATTTTTAGTAGAGATGGGGTTTCACCATGTTGACCAGGATGGTCTCGATCTCTTGACCTCATGATCCACCCGCCTCGGCCTCCCAAAGTGCTGGGATTACAGGCTTGAGCCACCGCGCCCGGCCTACTTTTTGTATTTTTAGTAGAGATGGGGTCTTACCATGTTGTCCAGGCTGGTCTAAGCTCCTGACCTCAGGTGATCCACCCGCCTCGGCCTCCCAAAGTGGTGGGATTACAGGCATGAGCCACCGTGCCCCACTGAGATATTACTTCTTTTCTTCTCTTTAGCATTTCAGTCTTCTGTCTTCATCCTTTTGTTATAGTCCTCTATTTATTTATTTATTTATTTTGAGACGGAGTTTCGCTCTTGTTACCCAGGCTGGAGTGCAATGGCGTGATCTCGGCTCACCGCAACCTCCGCCTCCTGGGTTCAGGCAATTCTCCTGCCCCAGCTTCCTGAGTAGCTGGGATTACAGGCATGCGCCACCACGCCCAGCTGATTTTTGTATTTTTAGTAAAGACGGGGTTTCACCATGTTGACCAGGATGGTCTCGATCTCTTGACCTCGTGATCCACCCGCCTCGGCCTCCCAAAGTACTGGGATTACAGGCGTGAGCCACCGCGCCCGGCCTATAGTCCTCTATTTATAAAAGAGAGCATTCTTAAACCTATCAGAAAAATAAAAATTATTGTTTAATATCTTTCTTTCTCATAGTTTTCACTTTCTTCTCTTTCTTTCCCTGGGCAATGCCTTATACTTGTTTTCTGCCTGAGTCTCACATCCCATTTTCACCATGAGACCTACCACCAGGTTCCAAAATCCATATGCCTGGAATCAAAGTGATAATTTCAGGATCGCGATTTCTTTCCAATAAACTTTTGTGTTTCATATCATAGTGCTGAGCATCATTCTTGATATCTGCCCACCTGGATTTGGGTGAAAAATACTAACTCATTCTCATCCTATTTCCCTGAGTACATTTTCACATCTTGTTTGCTTTTATCCCCCTTTTGTACCTTGTCTAGGACAGTAAATATTTGTTGACTAAATTAATCTTGTTTCATTAGGCCTCTCATTGGTATCTTTCTGATGTGTCCTTAAAGCATTTTCTTCACTCTGAGCTCTTGACTTTATAAAAGTCCTGCAAGCTACAATAATCTGATGAATTCTCAAATGTATTTCCTTGTTTTATATGAATGACTTTCAGATAGACTTCCATATATATACTTGCAAAGTTAGCCAGCTATGAAATTGGAGGGTACGGTAGTCCATACAAGACCACCCTTACTTCTGACACCAGCTGTAAGTTTGGGGATCCCCAAGACTGCCCTTAGATTAGATAGTTTTGTTTTTTTTGAGACAGAGTGTCATTCAACCTCCACCTCCTAGATTCAAGCTATTCTTGTGCCTTAGCATCCCAAGTAGCTTGGATTATAGGCATGTGCCACCACACCCTGCTGATTTTTGTATTTTTATTAAAGATGGGGTTTCACCATGTTGGCCAGACTAGTCTTGAACTCCTGACCTCAAGTGATCCACCCACCTCAGCCTCCCAAAGTGCTAGGATTACAGGCGTGAGCCACCATGCCCAGCTAGGTTCAATAATTTACTGAAAAGCCCCATGGAACTCAGTGAAAGCTATTATGCTCACAATTACAGTTTGTTACAGGAAAAGATTAAAATCAGTCAAGGGAAGAAGAACATAGGTGGAGTCCGGGAAAGCACCAAACATGCAGTTTCTAGGAGCCCTCTCTCTGTGGAGTCAGGGAAGCAATCCTGGCAACACTGTATAAGGTTGCATACAGAGTACTGCCAACCAGGGAAGTTCAGCCCAGCCTCAGTGTCCAGAGTTTTTATTGGGGCTCTGCCAACTAGGCCTGATTGCCCACATGGCTGAGCTCAGTTTCCAGTGCCGTAAGAAGCTGAGCTAATGCTTGCTGCATGACTCAAAGTTCCTACCCTAAATCACATTGTTACTGTTTGGCCAGCCAAAGACTCCCTGGCAAACAAATAAACTCCTGTTAGCCATGATGACATTCAAAGGGCTTAAAGATTACCACACTGAAACTGAAGTTAAAGTTTAGACATTGTGTTTGGCAAGGTTAAATTCTTTACCACACAATATTATATGTCATTTAGCTAAAAGATTGTGTTTCATTTCCTCCATGAAATACCTTGATTACTGTATAGACTATGTCTATTTCTTTTTTATGCATTCCCATTCTACTTAATGTCTATAACATGTGAGCAAACACGTCCTCTGATGTGATCTAGTAATTTGATACCTAATTCAACATTGTTTTATATGACATTTCTTTCTCCATTTGGTTAATTGTTTCCTCAAAATAAGATCCTCTCTTTTGTCTTTCCTTACTGCAGCTTGTAATGGAGGCCAGGTATTCAGCAGTTATCTTTTTGATTGTCGTATCATGCAGGGAAAATATCTTTCTCATCCATTTAGAAATCATTTACTACTAAGTTCTTTCTAGGTGTACCTGCCAATATTGTATCCCCTAACCTCAGATAATGGTGTGTAAATGTATACTCAGAATATTTTAGAGAATATTGTCAATAATATATTGACCTATAAAAATATGAGTTTTAGTTAAGAAAGCAATATTATATTATCAAATTGTGGACTTGACATAGAATGACCATGTTAAAATTCCAGGCTGTTGGAAAATATTTTGAAGTGAATGTTCCAGACCATAATTATATTACAATTTCAAACAGATGGGATACTGAGAGGCAGAAAAACTGTGTGAAACCTTAGCTGGGAGCAGAAGCTCACTTCTGTAATCTCAGCATTTTGGGAAGCCAACAGTGGGTGGATCACCTGAGGTCAGGAGTTCAAAACCAGCCAGGCCGACACAGTGAAACCCCATCTCTACTAAAAAAAATGTAAAAAAAAAAAAAAAAAAAAAAAAAGCCAGATGTGGTGGCACACACCTTTAGTCCCAGCTACTCAGGAGACTGAGACATGAGAATCACTTGAACCTTGGAGATGGAGGTTGCAGTGAGCCAGGATTGGAAGGAAGAAGAAAGGAAGGAGAGAAAGAGAGAAAGAACTATGTGAAAGCTTTAAGAAAAATTGACTGGTAGCATATAAGAAAGAAAAAAAAGAAAGACTGAAAGCTTTAAGAAAAAATGGATAGTAGCATATAAGAAAGAGAGAGAGAAGTATGGAAGCTTTAAGAGAAATTGGATAGCAGCATATAAGAAAGAAAGAAAAGGAAGAAAGAAAAAAGAAAAGAAATAAATGAAAAGGAAAGACAGAATATGTGAAAGCTTTAAGAAAAATTGGATAGCAGCATATACTTGGAGGTGTTTGAAGTTCTTAGGGAGACAATGTAACTTCAATTAGCAGTACAGATTAGTTTTACATGGCCTAGAACTGCACATAAGTGGAAGTGTATGTGTACTCTGTTTCATAAAGCTTATAGTCTGCAAAATATTTGAGATTCATTCCTGTTGTCATTGTGTATCAGCATTGTTTCTTCTTATTGTGAGGTAGTATTCTATTGTATAATACATGACACAGTTTTACCTGTTAATCTTTTCATGGATATTTGGGCTGTTCCCAGTATGGGACTATTATAAATAAAAATGTAAATCATAGATGAGTTGAATCCATCTTTAAATTGCCCTCCCAAGTACGCGTCGTAGTAAGGCAACAATAGTAAGATATACAAGAATTTATTTTTTTAAATAGTAAAGATTAATGCTCTGCACATACATTGAATAATCCAGTCCTTTACAGCTGCAATAGGGAAGCAGAATTAAGGTATGTGACTGTATTGGGAGGAAAACTCAAGCCTATTCTTCCCTAAAGCTGAAAAAAGTAATTCGGCAAATTGAAAGAACGAAGTTAGAATTGATGGTGAGGAGAATTTCATTATTGACCATCTCTGGCAGAATAGATTGATGGTAACAGCAATCAGAATACTACAGTGCCCGGGCACTGTGGCTCACACCTATAATCCCAGAATTTTTGGAAGATCACTTGAGGCTGGGAGTTTGAGATCAGCCTGGGCCACATAGGAAAACCTCAACTCTACAAAAAAATATAAAAATTAGCTGGGCGTGGTGGCACACACCTGTGGCCCCAGATACTTGGGAGGCTGAGGTGGGAGGATTGCTTGAGCCCAGGAGGTCAAGGCTACAGTGAGCCGGGATCACATCACTGTATTCCAGCCTGGAGGACAGAGCAAGACCCTGTCTCAAAAAAAAAAAAAAAAAATTCAAATACACACACACACACACACACACACACACACACACACACACCAGTGATTATATTCATGTTGGAAATATATTTTGTCTTTTAGTGTATTTTATAATTCCTCATGGGAATATGTTTTCTAGATTCTCTGCTTTCAAGCGAAAATAAATTACGGTTATATGGACAGTTAGGGCCTAGACTATAGACTAATGTTTCTGTAAACACTAGGAAAGGAGCTGGAAAAGTTCATTTACCGTGCATAGGCAAAATGGAAGTGAAGAAGAAAGAATTGGAAGCACTCATAGCACTTATTTAGGTGTGAGGGGATAAATGTGTAGCTTTTCATCTCTTCATAAATAATTTTTTTGTCATCTTGCCTACTGTTCAGTATCCTTGGTAGGCTTACTTCAGCAGCTCTGAATCCTTCATGCCAAGGACAATCCCTCTTTTATCATTCTCTCTCTTCTGCTCACTCATCCTTGTTTCTTACACCTTCTCAGTGCAGCTTATATTTATAACATGCCAAAGATACGAGTGTTTTTTGCTTCTGCCAGTTTTTCTTCATTTTTATAGTGTAGCAAGAAGTGTATTTATGTTTATACATTTTCCCTACCAAGAAGGAATTTATTCTGGCCTTTTTGTAGATCACAGTAGTGAGCTAGTCCCACCATAGTTTGTCTGTGTGTACACCCAATCCATAGCATTTACGTGCAGACTTACAGTGTTAATTGTATTCTTTTCTAGAAGAAGATGGGAAAACTGAAGATGTCTTAGTGAAGTTCAAAGAATACCAAGACAGGCATTCTAGATCCCTCATACTTATTAACCACAAAAAACTAATTAAGGAGAGAAGTAATATTTATGGTAAAACACTTACTCTAGGCAAGAACCATATTTCAAAAACAACACTATGTGAATATAAACCTGACGGAAAAGTTTTGAAAAATATTTCAGAACTAGTCATTAGAAATATAAGCCCCATAAAAGAGAAGTTTGGTGAGAGTATTGGATGGGAGAAATCACTTCACAATACTAAGCATGAGAAAATTCATCCTGCAGTGAATCTCCATAAACAAACAGAAAGAGTTCTCAGTGGTAAACAGGAGCTTATTCAGCATCAGAAGGTTCAAACTCCAGAGCAACCATTTGACCATAATGAATGTGAAAAATCCTTCCTGATGAAGGGAATGCTATTTACACATACTAGAGCTCGCATAGGAGAAAGAACCTTTGAATACAACAAAGATGGAATTGCCTTCATGGAAAAGTCAAGTCTCAGTGTCTATCCAAGTAATCTTATGGAAAAGAAGCCCTCTGTCTGCAACAAATATGGGAAATTCCTCTGCAGAAAGTCTGTTTTTATTATGCCTCAGAGACCTCAAACAGAGGAGAAACCCTTTCAATGTCCTTACTGTGGGAATAGCTTTAGAAGGAAGTCATACCTCATTGAACATCAGCGAATTCACACAGGTGAAAAACCTTATGTTTGCAATCAGTGTGGAAAGGCCTTCCGTCAGAAGACAGCCCTCACCCTTCATGAGAAAACACACATAGAGGGGAAACCCTTTATTTGTATTGATTGTGGGAAGTCCTTCCGCCAAAAGGCCACCCTCACTAGACATCACAAAACACATACGGGAGAGAAAGCCTATGAATGTCCTCAGTGTGGAAGTGCCTTTAGGAAGAAGTCATACCTCATTGATCACCAGAGAACTCACACAGGAGAGAAACCGTATCAGTGTAATGAGTGTGGGAAGGCATTTATCCAGAAAACAACCCTCACTGTGCATCAGAGAACTCACACCGGAGAGAAACCCTATATTTGCAATGAATGTGGGAAGTCCTTCTGCCAAAAGACAACCCTCACTCTCCACCAGAGAATTCACACAGGGGAGAAACCGTATATTTGTAATGAATGTGGGAAGTCTTTCCGCCAGAAGGCAATCCTCACTGTTCATCACAGAATACATACAGGAGAGAAATCCAATGGCTGTCCTCAGTGTGGGAAAGCCTTTAGTAGGAAGTCAAACCTCATTCGCCATCAGAAAACTCACACAGGAGAGAAACCATATGAATGTAAACAGTGTGGGAAGTTCTTCAGTTGTAAGTCAAACTTAATTGTCCATCAGAAAACTCACAAGGTAGAAACCATGGGAATTCAGTAAGTAATGTGACTTTTTTTATAAAAAAAAATTTTAAGTCATAGTAAACCCTGTACATGATGTTGCTTGCGATTGTAATAATATCCAACCGTTTAAGGTACTAGGATACCACATGGTATCCTACTGTTTGCCAGCCTGTAAAACACACACATATTATTAGACAAATTACATGACAGAAATCATTTAAAAGTCCAAATTTTTTATTACTAGCTTCAGCAGACAAAAACTTCCTCTGTCAAGGTGTTATAAACATTTAAAATCACATTTTCCATTTCAATACATATCTTTCTGTTAAGCAGTAATAAATAGTTGGCCAACTGACTGTGGTCCATGGACTATACAGTGAGTAGACATTCTTTAAAAGAAGAAGGCATGAGCTGTATTTCTCATTGCAAATACAAAATAAAAATTAGTTGTTACTGCCTCACAGTTGACCATGATTCTGACTTCTAACATTATAAATTAGATTTTACATATTATAAATCATTATGTATCATGTATTCTTTCATATACAGCTTATTACATTCATCATGTCCCTGAGTCTGATCATTAGTGCATGTAACAGAAGTTTATTGAGTATAGAGTTCTATTATATGATTATATCACAATTTATCCATTCTACTGTTGATGGACTTCTACATTGTTTACAGCTTAGGGTCATAATAAATAATGCTTCTGAGAACATATTTGTCTTGGTGTACATACATGCATTTCTCTTGTATATATACTTAGGAATGGAATCGCTGGGTCTTAGAACATATGTGTATTCAGTCAGATACTGCCAGACAATTCAGAACTTTCACCACATGAGATCACACTGAAGGGAAGCAGCATGTTTTATCAACATGTGCTGGTTCAAACCAGAGAATTCATGCTAGAGGAAAAAAATCTATCAATGTTATTGTGAAAACTGGGAATGTGAATATAATATATGTAGAAAGGCTTTCAGCCAGAGCCCAAATCTTCCAGACAAATGTAATAAATGTGAGATTGCTGTTAGCCACAGCTAATGCCTTATTTGAAAGCAAAAAGTCTACCAGAGAAGGAAAACCATCCAACATTTTCCTTATTCAACATCAGAGAATTCCAACTAGAAAAAAGTCCTGTGAGTGTGTTGAAATTGGAGCATGGGGAGGAATACAGTGTTTACCCATGGCCTGCATCTTACTGGTCAAGTACAAATAATGAATATGGAAAAGCTTACAGCCATCGTTCAACTATTACACTATATCAGGGAATTCACATAGGATGAGAACTCTTCACATGAAATGATTGTAAGAATGACTTTAACTGTTGCTCATTTCTTACACAACATCGAAGAATTAATACTAAAGAAAGGAAGATAAAAGGAAACAAACGGGACTTGGGATTTTTAACTCTGAGGAAAGCTCTCTTCCATGAAAGAAGTCTAGCCATACCAAGACTACAGTGCTAGCAAGTCTATGTGTAAGGCACCCTGGTCAACAGCTGGAGCTGAGCTCCCAGCCATCACCTAGCATGAGCTGCCAACCATTAAGTAAGTGAGGCCTCTTGGACATCCAGTCAAGACTTCAGATGACTGTGGACCCTGCTAACATCAAACTGGAACCACAAAAGAGACTTCAAACAAGAACTACCCGGCTGAGGTCTTCCCAAATTCCTGGCCAGCAACCAACAAAATGGTCAGGCTTTTTAACTAAAAACAATTTTTTGGTGTTTTTTTGTTTTTTTTTTTTTTTGAGACAAAGTTTTTCTCTGTCACCCAGGCTGGAGTGCAATGGCATGGTCTTGGCTCACTGCAACCTCTGCCTCCCTGGTTCAAGCAATTCTGCCTCAGTAGCTGGAATTTCATGGGCCCGCCACCATGTCTAGCTAATTGTTTTTTTTTTTGAGATCGAGTTTCACTCTTGTTGTGCAGGGTGGAGTGCAATGGCTTGATCTCTGTTCACTGCAACCTGTGCCTCCCAGGTTCAGGCAATTCTCCTGCATCAGCCTCCCAAGTAGTTGAGATTAGAGGCATGCACCACCACTCCCAGGTAATTGCTTTATTTTTAGTAGTGACGTGATTTCTCTATGTTGGTCAGGCTGGTCTCAAACTCCCAACCTCAGATAATCTGCCCACCTCAGCCTCCCAAAGTGCTGGGATTACAGGCATAAGCCAGCATGCCCAGCCAACTAAAAACAGTTTTATTTTTTACTTATTAAAAAAGTTTTTATTTAACTTAATTGTTTTATTAAAAGAGAATGTAATTTTTTAGTATCTATTAACATATAATAAAAATAATATATTTTTTATTATTTATGCTAGGTGGCTCATGCCTGAAATCCCAGCACTTTGGGAGGTGTTGGAGGATCACTTGGGCCCAGGAGTTCGAGACCAGCATGGGAAATATGGCAAAGCCCCATCTCTACAAAAAATTAGCCAGGCATGGTGGCACGTTCCTGTAGTCCCAGCTACTCGGGAGGCTGAGTGGGAGGATCACTTGAGCCTCAGAGGCAGAGGTTGCAGCGAGCCAGGATAGCGCCAGTGCACTTCAGCCTGGGTGACAGAGTGAGACCCTGTCTCAAAAATAAATAAATAAAGGTATAAATATTTGGATTCTAGAGTCAGTAAACAAAGATACGGTGATTACTACTAGGTGATTTTGGCATGAACAAAAACTGGCCATAAAATACAGTTGAAGATTTGGCTGTATTTTTGGCTTATGATTACATATTTTAATAACAACTCAGTTGAGGGGTTCATATGTGTTCTCTTGCATTTTCTGGCACTAAATTATATTCACATACATCCCAATTTTGCACACACAAGAAAATGAATATAGCCCCCAAAAGACCAGCTGCAGATAATGCAATCCATCCTCAAAAGACCCTGTGCTATCATTTCTCATGAAGTTCGGTTAACAAAAGCGCAGAGAGAAATCAAGGTATGAAATCTAATGAATGTCCATGAAAGAGGTACTTTTGAATGCTTTAAAGAAAGTCTAAATGAAGTTGTGGTTTTATTCTTTTGTTTTGTTTTGTTTTTTGTTTGTTTGCTTGTTTGTTTGTTTTGAGACAGAGTCTTGTACTGTCGGCTGGGCTGGAGTGCTATGACGCGATCTCGGCTCACTGCAACCTCTGCCTCCTGGATTCAAGTGATTCTCCTGCCTCAGCCTCCCAAGTAGCTGGGATTATAGGCACCTGCCACCATGCCCAGCCAATTTTTTGTATTTTTAGCAGGGTTTCACTGTGTTGGCCAGGCTGGTCTCGAACTCCTGACCTTGTGATCCGCCTGCCTCAGCCTCCCAAAGTGCTGGGATTACAGGTGTGAGCCACCATGCCTGGCCTTTTTCTTTTCTTTTCTTTTCTTTTTATTCTTTTGTTTACTTCAGTTTTATGTGGAATTCTGTTTTGTTTTGTTTTCAGACAGAGTCTTGCTCTGTCGCCCAGGTTGGAGTGCAGTGGCGCGATCTTAGCTCACTGCAACCTCCACCTCCCAGGTTCAAGCGATTCTGCTTCAGCCTCCCGAGTAGCTGGGACTATAGGCACATGCCACCACACCTGGATAATTTTTAAATTTTTAGTAGAGATGGGGTTTCACCATGTTGACCAGGCTGGTCTCAAACTCCTGACCTCAAGATCCACCTGCCTTGGCCTCCCAAAGTGCTGGGATTACAGGCATGAGCCACCACACCCGGCCTCTTTTTTCTTTTCTTTCTTTTTGAGATGGAGTTTTGCTTTTGTTGCCCAGGCTGGAGTGTAATGGCGTGATTTCAGCTCACTGCAGCCTCCACCTCCCGGGTTCAAGCGATTCTCCTGCCTCAGCCTTCCAAGTAGTTGAGATTATAGGTGCCCACCATCACACCTGGCTAATTTTTTGTATATTTCGTAGAGATGGGGTTTCATCATGTTGGCCAGGCTGGTTTCAAACTCCTGACCTCAGATGAGCCACTATGCCCGGCCAAAGTTGTAAAGCTATTCTAAAGGTATTTACTTATAACCTGCTTCTCCTTAGGAAAATTTGGCCCTATGGTTTATATTTTGGCATGAAACAACATTGGGCTATATTCCAGAATCCTGCTTAAAAATTTCTTTTGAAGAAGTCAGAAATTGTCTTTGCATTTTTTTTTTTTTTGAGACAGGTTCTCATTTTGTCACCTACGCTGGAGTACGATGGTGTCTTAGCTCACTGCAGATTTGAATTCCTGGACTCAAATGATTCTCCTGCCTCAGCCTTCCAAGTAGCCAGGACTACAGGCGTGTGCCATCCCACTTAGTTAATGTTTTTTTTTTTAATACATATTATACATATGGGGTCTTGCTGTGTTGCCCAGGCTGGTATCAAACTCCTGGCCTCAAGCAGTCCTCCCAGTTTGGCCTCCTAAAGTGGTGGGATTACAGGTGTGAGCGATTTCACTCACTTGAGAGATTTTTCATGTTATGAATTGATAAATACAGCATTGCATCACTTAATGGGTGATGCATCATTAGGCAGTGTCACGAATGTGTAAGCATCACAGAATACGGATACAAACCTAGATGGTACAGCCTACTACACACCTAAGCTATATGGTATAGCTAGCCTGTCGCTCCTAGGCTACAAATCTGTACTGCATGTTACTGTGCTGAATACTATAACCAGTTGTAACACAATGGTAACTATTTGTATATGTAAACCTATATATACCCTAAATATAGAAAAGGTACAGTAAACATATGGTGCTATAATCTTATGAGACCATCACTGTATATGCATCATGGAACAAAATGTCATATGGTGCGTGAGTATTTTTCATCCAACTTCTCTATTGCTCAGTGAAGTTTGGGCAGCTCTAAGGAGCAAACTGGTTATGGACTCTAAGTCAACTTGGCCTAAATAGATAAGACAAAATAGATGTGATTTTGCAAATTCATATTTTGTAGACCTGACTGCAAGGTCATAAGACATATGCATTCATCAGTTCAAAGGACTAATGACTTCACAGAGCATACCCAGGAAATGCTTTTACTTAGAAGTAAAGGATGTGGCTCAGGAAAAGAAAGGGAAGGTAAGCATTGGGGCTTAGAGTCATCGAGGGGCATGCTCTTCAGTAGTTTCATTCATACACAGACTGCACACTGTCTCTGAACTGAACCACTAAGAGCTGTATGAAGCTTGGTTTGGGGACAGCTGATGGCAGGACTTCTTGGCACAGGTTTTGTTTGTTTGTTTGTTTGTTTGTTTTTGAGATGGAGTCTCACTCTGTTGCCCAGGCTGAAGTGCAGTGGCGCAATTTCGGCCCACTACAACCTCCGCTTCCCAGGTTCAAGCGATTTTCCTGTCTCAGCCTCTCAAATAGCTGGGATTACAGGCATGTGCCACCATGACCAGCTAATTTTTGTGTTTTTTGTACAATGGGGTTTTGCCATGTTGGCCAGGCTCCTGACCTCAGGTAATCCATCCACTTTGGCCTCCCAAAGTCCTGGGATTACAGGCATGAGCCACTGCGCCCAGCCACTGTACAAGTTTTTATGCCCCTCTGTTCACTTGCTACATAGTCAAGCCAGGCTATCTAACTGGTTATGTGAGTTTTAAAAAGTTAAAAAGCCATCATAAACAAATTGGCTCTGGGAGTCTCCCCGGGAGTATCAGACTTTAACCAATACCTCGTATAGCTCAATCATATTATCCCAACCAGGAGTCAGAGCCAGACATCCAGGCATCATGGAGATAATGTTAGAGC